TTGGTTTTAACCACCACAGAATTACACAGAATGTATGAAAATCGGTATCACATCACATCACAGAATTTTGTTTAACCGCACACATAATTTGGTTTTTATCACCGCAGAAAATCATCGTCCCCAAAAATTGTGACACAATGATATAAACGTTCCATAAATTTTTTAAAAAACCAAGTATAATTAACGTTAATTAATTAATCATTTTTCAATTTTTTCTTTTTCCGATATTTAATTTTCTTTTTTTTTCTTTTTTTTTGTTCGTTTAACTAGTTGCGATGGAAACTATTCCACCAGAGATTTTTTTAGAAATTTGTAGACATTTATATGTTAAAGATCTTTATACGTTAACCCTGGTATGCAGACCATATCGTAAAATTTTATGGTCAAAAACCATTTCAATTCAAAAAATTTGGACAAGTTCCAGAGTTCTTTCATTTGATACTTATTTACCTTATCCTACATTACCCCCACCAAATTCGATGAGTGAACAAGAATATATTTGGTTTACCATGTTGGCTGATAAATGTAGTATTTGTAAAACCAAGATTGAAAAACAAGAGTTATTCGTTTGTAGATATTGGGAATTTGGTAGGATTTGTTGTAAGGAATGCATTGAAAAGAAAACCATCAGGTAAGGACATTTTTACGATTTTTTTTTTCTTTTTTTTTTTATAAAAAAAAATGGTAACAGTATCATCCATTTGTTACATACAAATTTTCCAAACACAAGAAAAATCAAAAATTCTTTGCCAAAAGATTTGTTAGGATGTGTGCCATATCACGAAAGGCATGTATTTAATTTAGGCGATGAAAAACTTTATTGGGCCGATGATTTGCATTCATTTGAATCAAAATATCATGCTTTTGAAGATGAACAACAAAGAGATAATTGGGTTAAAGTAAAACGAGAAGAAGTTAAGGAATTTATGAATGAAGCATGTAAATATAAATGGCAAGATCAATATAAATATTTCTTTCCTTTTGCTTTTAATGTTTAAAGGTAAGAAGGTAAAGTTAGATTTTAGAATTTTAAATTTAGAATTTATACTTAGATAGAAATTTATATATAGAAATCATTTATATTACAATAGAATACTAATTTAATTTCTTTTAATAGAGTTTAATTTATTAATAAATTTAGGGTTATCTAGACTCCATTACCAATGTTTCGTATATTGTTATATAAAATTTAAATAAATGAACTTCAAATTTTTACACTGAAAATAATGACGTGATCACTTCAATAAACCCATCAATATATATTTATTTCATTGTTACGTAAGATCAATTTAAAAAAAAGAAATTTAGCATTAGAATATTCGGAAGATGATATTCTTTTCTCAATAGTACAGGAAAATGTTACCAATCCGACAAAAGCTAATCAGTAAAAAAAAAGGCAAATAAAAAAAATTGGTGTACAAATGTAATATAATAGTTATAATATATCAAAATAATATACAAATATGATTTCATTAATTTACAAGAATAACTATTAAATTCTTTACAAATCTGTAATAGATTATAATTTTTCACAATTGCTCAAGTTTTTCTCTTAATTCCTCGATTTGCTTTTCTAACTCTGCCTTTTTTCGATCAACGTTTTCGTCAGACTCACAAAGTCTATAAATGAAAAGTAATTAGAATACTAGCATCTAAGTCGATAAATATCATATAATATCATTTACTTTGGTTCGGTTCTTGCAACAGTTGCAGTTATCAATCCTTAATAATAATATAAAAGAAGTTAATAAAACAAATTAAATCAGAAAGTAAAAGGAAAAAAATAATTATGTTCACCTGATGGATCACTTATAGGAGAATAAACATCACAATCTTTTCCTGAATTTTTTAATCCAAATCTATCAAGATCATAAGCAAAGTAATGCTTATTTGGAAGCTCATAATGGATGGAGTTAATCTCTTGAAATTTTTCTAAAGCGATTTTAGACATAAGATATAAAGTGGCTTGCACTGATGCACTATTATCTGTAGCGAAAGTATCTAAAGTAATTTGTCTAATTGAATTAAAGATATTGTCAAAAGGGATTTGTGAAATTGAAGATACATTGGATGTATTATAAGTCCAGGTTGCATCTATACTTGTTGAAAGAATACGATCATCGGTTTCCAAAAGGGTCGTATCTGTATAATAGAGAAAGAAAATTTATCTAAGAATTCGGATATTTGATTGTTGTCAATCAATCACAAATTATTATTTATTCACATTCGTCTCTCATGAATCCATAGAATGCCGATCCGGTAGTCTTCAATACCAACAAATCTTTAAGACCTGACTCAATTTTAATCGTCGTATTTTTTGATTCATCTTTCTTGATCACGATGACTTTAGTGTTTCTAGTATCATCTCCATCCCTAATGAATGAATGGTCGTGTAATCTTTCATTAACAAGCATTCGTGTCCATTTGTGTTGAGTTATCCAAACATTGGCTTTGGAAACGTGAGAATAAGTCGAAATAAAGTGTTGTCCAATTTCTGTGGCAAAAATTTCAATCTTTTGAACGTTAGATGATTGTTTGGCAAGGATATAGACCGTGTTTTTAATTGTATCCGTCGCGACAACAAGTGAATTATCGGCTTTTGTGTAAGCGGCGGTAAAGTCGCCTTCTAAAAGTACGCAAACCTTTTTTTTTTAAAAAAAAAAAAGGAAAAAGATAGTTATGAAGCAATCAATAAGTCGAACTGAGTCGCGTCTCAGCAATCATAATTTTTGCAATTACAATTCGGCTAAAGTATCCGATGAATTTTGGCCGCAATTTATAACCCATTTTTTTTGATATATTATTACCGTGAGTTCCACAATTTCATGGAATTTTCCTGTACGTATAACCTTAACTAGTCGAATTCGATCTTTTCCATATCTTTGTTCTTGAAGAAACACTTCAGACATGGTGGTAGAAAAAATAATAAAAAAGATGACTCGAAAATTTCCCCTTTTTTAGTATTTAGGTACGCGATAAATATCATATGATCGATCGGTCCATTCTGAAAGGTTTGATAATTACCTAATTAAAACTAGCCTAATCATTCAAACTTTAAATTGTATAGAAATATTAAAAGTGAGACGAGTCGATCGTGATTGGAGAAATTGATTGGGAATATAAACCGACAAATGTGTCTTATATTTATCAAAAAAGACTAAAATAAGATATTGCAGCATTTTTCAACAAAATTTTAATATAAATTCGCTAATAATGGAAAGTATGTCTTTTCTTTTTATTAATCACCAAGAATCATGAATTCTATTGAAAAAATAAATAAATCCTTATTGGCACAGCCAGAATAAGGATTAATGATAAGTTACAAATCATGCGTTACTTTTACTAAGTATTGCATCCCGCCAATAACGTTCTCTTTTGAGAGTAATCATCATGATAAAAATGGCGTATTATCAATAGATGCACAATAAAACTTTATTATCGGGCATCCTAAATTTACAATAAGTTTCCAAAAGAATATTTCGAATTCTAAAAATAACATGTTATTTACTTAAACAAGATAGGGCTTCTTCGTCGCATGATTTTTACAATAACGAAAGTTCTTCCATTCTTTACTGAAACAACGAAAGAATCGGTTAATTTCGAACTTAAGCTATTCTATTCAACAATTATGTTATATATAATATTACAGAGGATCAAAATAGGAAAAATACAGCCATTCGATGCCGTGTTAAATTTAATTAAAAATAATAATAGCTTCCACTATAATGCTATTTCGTTTTTAGACCCCCCTAAAAAATATATTAATGAAAAAATAATTTAAAATGACGCTAAAATTTTTAAAATCCATTATTATTTGTTCTGCAGGTTTTGATTGGATGACAATGACGCGGATGACAATCCTGGACACTCTAATGTCGATCAATCGATCAAATTAAAATAGTTCAGCTGAACTGCGTATATTACGAATATTACGTTATGTTAGCACGTCCAAAAAAAAACCGTATTGGATTTAACAACCTTTCCAGTTTCATAAAACATAATGTCTTCGTACCGTGCCTCATATCCCAGTAGACATTCATCAGACGGTGATGACAGGAAACGGCATAGTAGACATTCCGACGATGAGAAGGAAGTAGAAAGAAAACACAAAAAGAAAGCTAAAAAAGAATCGAAGAAACATAAAAAAGTATGTATTTGATCTTTCACTATTAAAATCAAAAATATATATGATCCGTTTATAATTTGATTTAATAGCAAAGCACCTATATATAAAATTTATAACGTTTCATATTAAATAATTACCAATTTTTACTTTTATAGGAACATAAATCGGATAAATTAGATGATTCAGATAAAATGTCATATATAGATTTGTCGATTTACTCAAATAACGATAATCCATTTAATGATGCAAATTTAGGAGAAAAATTCGTATGGACTAAGAAGAAGGATCGCGAAAAGAAATCAGGCTTGACTCCTGAAGAGGTATTTCGTCATGAGAAACAACGTCGTGAAGAAACGCAGGTTGGGATCTTTTTTTTTGATTTGTTTTACCATGAATTCATGCTTACAATTAGCATTGTTCCCTAAATTTTTTTTTAATTAATTTTTATAGCTCGAACTTGAAAAGTTGAAAAAGAGGAGAGTAGAACGTGAAGTAGAGCAACAATTGAGAGAGGAAGAGCTTGTAATTATCCTTAAATTCATGCTTTTGATTATATTTTGTCATTGAATTTTTGATTTATTTCTATAATTTGCAGGCACGGATGCAACGTGAAGCTGAATTTGCATCTATGGGTGATTGGGCATCTAAAGAAGACGAAGTAAACATTTAATTTAATTATCTGAAATTACAAAATAAATTAGTTAATCCTAAGTTCCTCCTCTTATAATTTACTAGTTCCATCTTGAGCAAGCAAAACGCCGTGCAGAAATTCGTATCAAGGAAAATAGAGCAAAGCCAATAGATATTCTTGCTATCAATTTGCGTTTGGCCGATGAAAATGAAGATGTGGATGAAGCTTTGGAAATAGATGTAGATGAACCCTACACTATTTTTGAGAATTTGACTTTGCAAGAAGTTGAAGAATTACATCAAGATATTCAAAGATATTTAAGCCTTGAGAAAAATCCAAATAATCTTGATTTCTGGAGGGTAAGCATTATTATTACTACAATATAACTTGTAATAAACTTTATTAATATATTTGTATATATATATATATATAGGCAATGATCGTGGTATGTGATGATAAACTTTCTGAACTTCAAGCAGAAGAAAAAAATCTTACTAGCAACGTTACGGCAGTTGTCAAAGATGACATCAATAAGTTGTTGGCTGGTAAAACTTATGAACAATTAAACAAATTGCAAGCTCAGATTCAACAAAAGTTATCTGGGCAAGAAGCTGTGGAAGTTGAATATTGGGAACAGCAATTAAAAACTATAACAGTTTGGAAAGCGAAGGCTAAATTAAAGGCAATGCATGAAATTGTATTACACAAGAGATTGGAACAATTAAGGAGAAAACAGAGACAGGAAGCTATAAAAGTGCAGGAAGAATTAGAAACAGCACTTGCGTCACATAATTTGCATGTTAGGGCAGAAGGACGACAAGAACCTATTATTGAGGAAGTATTAGAGGAAGAAGACGATTCTTTGATCGAAGAATATGACATGTCGATGAGTCCAAAACCTTTTGACAAATTACCACGAGAAGATAAACATTTTGAAATTTTTGATATTGAGGAAGACATGAAAGCATTGGTAAGTACATTTTTTACGAAGTAGGATTGCGCAATATTTTTATCACTCATAATCAATCAACATTATTTAATTATAAGAGAGAAAAACGTAAAGAGGTTCTTCGTAACCAATTCATTCCCATGAAAATTCAACAAAAGAAACCTACTGTAGAAGAGGAGGAAGATTCTGTGGTATGTGTAATTGGTGATATTTTCTTTTTAATTATTTTGCATATTTTGTTAAAACTATTTTGATCTGAACTTATATAGGTTTCTAAAGTATTATATGAACGAGAGGCTGCCAAAGATTTGGACGAAGATGAAGCTATATTTAATATAGAAGAAGAATTAGCCAAAACGGTACTTATCAATTTTATTTAACGTTCAACCCTAAATCAATTACTAATTATTTATTTTGTTATATTAGACATATTTATGGCAAGATAAATATCGTCCAAGGAAACCTCGATATTTTAACCGTGTTCATACAGGATACGAATGGAATAAATATAATCAAACTCATTATGATAGCGATAATCCACCTCCAAAGGTCGTTCAAGGATACAAATTCAATATATTTTATCCTGACCTGATTGATAAGTCCAAAGCTCCAACATATAAAATAGAAAGGGAACCTGGAAACAATGATACCGTCTTGATCAGATTCCTGGCTGGGCCTCCTTATGAAGTATGATTAGAATATATAAATTTATTATTTATTTTTATATTGAACATTTATTTCTAACATTTATTTCTAATACACAAAATATAAAATTTTTTCCTTATTCAGGATATTGCATTTCGTATCGTTAATCGCGAATGGGAATATTCTCATAAGAAAGGTTTTAAATCAAGTTTCGATCGTGGTGTTTTACAATTACATTTCCATTTCAAACGTCATTATTATCGTCGTTAAGTTATATATCTGTAAAAACATTAATAATGAATCGACTAAAAGAAAATATTACTAGGTTAAATAAGGCCCGACGTAATTCGTTAATCACGTGCCATTAATATGATCGTTCATTATGATAATTATATAATATTGGCTGAAATTACGTTATTTCTGGCCATCCTACTTTCGCTATACGTTATTGTTACTCAAAATGATTCATATTTCTATTTCTTTGTTAACTACTTCAAAGATTTCTTTTGCTTGTCTTAATTCTTCCGTTTCATCCCAGGATGCGTCTTTATTTTCCTAAATAATTAACAATTATTTAAAAATTCGATATCATTAAATTAAGAATTTAAAGGTTTTATCTTACAAGTAATTTTTGTAATTCTCTATGTGCTTCTTTAAGACGATTTTGACAATCTGGAATCATATTTAATGATTCTTGCAATACTTCTTTCTATTTACAGAAAAGGATTAATAATTTTTATTTTTTTAAAAATGCAATAAAATTATAATATCGTAAACCTGTTTAGCTATAGTATATTCATCAGTTCCATCTTCCGTCAGTTTATCAATTCGTTTTTGTTGATTTTCGACTTCTTTACGATAAGATTTTTCTTCTTTATAGAGACTTTTTGATTTAATTAAAATATTATTTTGTTAATATGGAAACAAAATGATAATTTTTTTTGAAAGAACCAAGACAAACCGTTTAACAACTCCAGTCTTTATCTTGAGATCGCGAAGAGACATTGTTAATTAAATGATGTTTAAAATACTGTAAATGACAGAATTCATTGATCGCATTATCAAATATATATGTACAATGATCGTCTAAATTAAGTAATTTAACGGAATATCAAATTCTTGACTTCCTTTTTTTTTAGAGATGTAAAATTCTATTAGAGTACTAATTTTTTGTTAACAAATATATTAACTTTAATTAATTAGAATATTATTAAAGTTTATTTATTATAATTAAATTTATTTTGTAAAATAAACCATTTATTAAATTAATAATATAATTTCTACTTATTTTTACATCTAATGATTATATAGAGGTTGACTATTAATATCAAAGTCTAAAAAAAGTCTTGTTTATATTAAAAGAATTTGCATATTTAATTATTTTAATATAAAATAAATATATAATTCTAATATTATTAAACTTTATATTTTGAATATATTAAAAAAATGCTAATAATTTATATCTTTCTACTGCCAATTTAACACAAAAGTTAGCTTTTTTTTTCATTTTGGATTTTTCTTAACCAGATAAATTAAAAAAACATACATATTTTCAGTAATCAAAACATTAATTTCTTAACAATAAAACCAATTATCTTAAAATAAAAAAAATTTCTATAATTGCTTAACTAAATAATATTTGTTTAAAACTATATAATATTATAATTTAAATCTTTAAATATTTAAGATATTAAAATTAATTTCTTTTCAGATTTATCACTTTTATTATTTTTATTATGTATCTTTTATTTAATTAAAATTTAATATAATTAAAAATAAATAAATTTTTGATAGAAATCTGAAAAAAACTTTATATTATTTTTATTTAAAACCTTTTTTATTAGATTATCTTTCATTAAATTATTAGCTAATAAATTAATAATTTAATCAACAATAATTAATAAATTTAATTAATTATAAAGTTTATTTATTAATTCTTATAAATTAAATTTATTGATAAATTTTTATTACAACCAATCAAAAATCTGATTAATTGATTTTAAACTAATTAATATTTGTATATTTTATTTTATTATTATCTTAGATTAATCTAAATTTATAATTCTATTTATATTTTTTCAGTTTAATTAAAATTTTAATTTGAAATAGTTTAAATATAACTAAAATATTTTAAATTAATTTTTATATAATCTAAAGTAAAGATAAGAATTGTAATTAAAAATGTTGTAACTTTTAATATTATAATATATATTGTAATTAGTTATAACTTATACAGTCACATCTCGATATAACGAAGTTGCCGATCCAGACGATCAGGACTTTATTATCCCCTTAATGGTTTTGCAGGCAAATTTGCCTGCAATTTTGAAAATTAATAATTGATCGCCAAAAAAAAGGATCA